GCGGGCTTCCTGAGAGCTGATGGCTCTTCCTCTATGTCCACTTTCTGGAGAGGGGTCTCAAGCTGCCTCTTTCTACTTGTTGGTGTATTGACTCGTTCCACTAGTGGAGATTTGCAGGGGAATTTGGTGGTTTTGCCATCAGTCCTTGGTTTATTTGTGTGGTTTGGTGTTTGGAAGAGCTCTCTGAGGCCAGCCAGGTCTTCTAAGGATTGGGCATTTCTCTTGGGCGTTCTTGACTGCCTCTTGCTTCCGGTTACATTTTCTGCAGAGTCCAGTGTCTGCTTTGGAGTTCTGTTCAACAATATGATGTCTTCATCACCTTCTCCTGGTTCTCCATGTGAGGGGATGCTTCCCCCCGACATTCGGGTGGACTTCCTGAGAGTTGAGGGCTCTTTGTCTAGGTCCGCTTTCTGGGGAGAGGTCTTGAGTTGTACATTCATCCTGTTTGGCATGCCAACTAGTTCTGGCTTTAAAGATTTCTGGCACTTTTCTGCAGTTTTGTTTCCCACATCCATTGGTTCCTGGGCTTGAGTGGGGGCTTGGGGGAGACCTTGGATGCCCCCCAGATCTTCCTTGGGTTCTGTGTCCTGCTGTCTCTTGAGGGTGCTCAGATCTGCTATTGGTTCCCATTTTTGCTCTGAATATCTTCTTGATCTCCTCACAGCTACCATGTTTTCAGAACTGTCTTCTGATTTGATAGCTTTCTCACATGCTACAAAACAGCTCTCCCGTTCCTCTGTCGCTCCCTCAGGTTTCTGTCCTCGCTGTGGAGTTTTCCTCAGATGTCGCCCTGAAGTGTTCTCAGCAGGGTCTGTGTTTGCTTCTTCGTCCCTGTGCCCTGGACCTGGCATCTGTGTATTTCTGAGCTCTGAGGACCTTCGGAACCTGTTTGCGCTTAACGCCGCCTTCGGAAGCTCTGCCTCCGATCCTGGAGTTTTCTCGATGTTTGCATTTACTCTAATAGCTGGTCGTCTGAGGGCAGGGCTGGCAGGACTTTGATCGGATGGCTCTTGTGGAGCATTCTGAGTCACGGGGAATTCATTCTCTCCTACAGGAAACAAAAACACACATGAGAGAAAGATTCTCTTCCCTGCGTTGTGCCAATTTGGTATTTTACCTTTATGAAGTACTGCGGAAGAGTCAATAATTCAGCCCCCTAGCCAGCCAGCTAAGCTTATGAAGCTGGCTACTTATGTGGCCGTACATCTTTCTTAAGTATGAACCACACACACTTAGGAATAATGTTATCTGGTGACAGACAGTGGAGTCATACTGAGGTGGTGATTCGGATCTACAGGGATCAGATAAAAGAAAAAAAAATTCCTTAAGAAGGGTCTCCTGAAGGCCGTCGCACCGTGTCTCAGGCACCTGAACACGGACATTTTCTTCAAGCATGAGAAGCAAACAGCTGTTTCTGCTGTTGAACCATCCACACCATAACATGGCTTATGCTCAGTATGCGTGGGGTCTGTACCCCACAGGAAACACCTGCTGCTCAGCAGAGGAGACACTGTGAGTGAAAACTGTTCCCTCTAGGACAGGGGTAACCAGCACTCAGAGAGAGAACAAGACAGACTCATTTCTCCCATCTGGGGCTCACGCTACAGCACAGACCATCCAGAACATCAGCAGCGATAATCGCACAGTGCGCACATTATCTTTCTCTTTGATTATTTACAGTTATTTTGAGTTTGAGAAATTTACCTAACTATGATGAGAGATCATGCCACTTCTCTGCTGGTCAACCTCTTTAAATAAAAAAGGCAGAAGTGTACACAGGTAGTTTGCAATTATTAAACTACTGTATTAAAATTATTAATACAATTATTAATTACCATTATTAAAAAATGTTATTATTACAATTATTCCTTTTTATGCCACTCGCTAAATACCAATGTTAGTTCAACTGCTAAAAGGAATTTCCTCTAAACATGACAGAACAGAGAAGCTGCAAATGGTATTTTTTCGGGAGTATCTATTGTAGAGAAATAATACAGCATCTGTTTAAAAAATAATAATACCATCTACAATAACTAGTAAAAACATCAAAGTGCAGGAAAAAAACAAAAGAAAACAGTAAACCAACCAAAATTTTCTGAAGTGCACAGCAGAGGTTTTTCTCCTGAATTAGGTACTTGAAACTTTTTTCCGAGGAAATCCTCTGAATTTGAAAAAGCGTTGGGACATGGGCTCATTATTTGTGGCTTCACTTTCGCCGGAGTCTTGAACATTTCAGTTAACCCTGTGATGTGAGAATATTGGAAAAGCAATTAGCATATTGCTCCTACGTGCCAACAGGCATGCCAGTCCTCAGATATACCAGAGGAAGTGGCAGAGAGAGAACAAGGAATCCCTCCCCAGAATTCTTGAGAGACAGGGTCATGTATTAATAATGAACTCATTTTGTTGGAGAGCAGTGATAAGCTGGAATTGTATCTCTTCTTTGCCTTTCCTCTTGGTGAGAAAATCTAATGAAGGCAGTTGACCTCTCGGTCTTGGACCATTGCCCTGATCCTGAGCACTGGCCGGGAGAGAGGCTGACCCCCCCGTGCCTCCCCTCCAGACATCTGGAAACCCAGTGTCCTCATGCTTCCTTGAAAAATCCTAACTTATGTAGACCTGGGTTTTATGTACAAATAAAATGTGCCCAATTTTTAAAAAATGACTGTCCATTGGGCTGCCCATTAATAGTATTGTCAAGTGATAATATCACTATGTTTTCATTTTAACACCAAAAAGTAGTATTGACACAAGAGAAGAAAAGAACCATATAGTTCTTTAGATAGAAGTTTTATCTTTCTGAAACACTCACTCACATGTCCTCTTTTCTCATTCCGCCATCAATGGATCAAAATGCTCTGTCTGGCATCTGTTTGTAAAGCCTGTTCTGAGGGCCCTCGAATCAGCCAGTTCACTTAAAAATCTCATCCCTCTGCCCGTGTTCAGGCCTTCCTTAAAATACCCAGGATCCAGTTTTCTGCACAGATTGATGTTTTGTCATGAAAGTTACTCACACCAAGGGGTGGAAGTTGTTTGACTTTCTAGGAAGTTGTGTTGAAGGAAGTTTGGGGAAATCCACTGTCCTGGGTACTGAGTATATAAATATCTATTAATTTTATCTTAAAAAAATATTTTTGAGAATTGGTTTTTAATGCTTCATAACATCGATGTTAGTTACACTCATACACAATTTACAAGGATACACGTATGTGCATATGTCTGCCTATTGGGTGGCATATACCCGAAACTTTTTTCTCATTGAGCATGCTATCAAAACTGGCTACAAAGGTTCTGCATTTTTGTGGTTTGTTTTTTAAAAAGCTGAATGTATTGATCCAACTATGACTGTAATCACAGTGTACCTTATTTGGGTTCTACAGAGCGGTACAACTAACGCATCTTAAAATATGCCAGGAAATAAGAACAAGAATCCATCTAATGGGAGATGGAATCAGGTCTCATCTCCCTCCAGAAATGCTCGAGGCAGAAACCAGTGGTCAAACTGCGTGGCATGAAATCCCAACCCTGGGCTCTTGCCTTGGTTCTAACCTAGGGCAACCACAAGGAAGTCACATCCCACTCTTGCTAATGGAAACACTGGCTCAGCTACTGACGCTTGAGGGAAACCTTCTTACAGGCCTTTGTTTTAAGACAGTTAAGTTTCATGCAAGCGAAGAAAAGCGTGAAGCAGCGAAACATTGCTCAAACCAATGGCTCTAACTTTGCGGACATCGATGAGTAGGGATGCAGGGAAGGGGCAACTTTAAGGGCAAGCCTGCTCCCTTCAGCATAAAGAAGCTTCCAGGTCTCCATACCCGTGCTGCAATCCAAGGTAAAGTTGTGCATTTTCCATTCCTACCTGCTTCCTGCAGGACTCATGATCCCCCTTATTATCGGGGACTTGTTCTTGGTCTCCAATCCAGCCTTCTCTTCCTTGAACCATCACCACCCCGGAAGTCGACTAAAATGTTTATCCTCCTAAAACCCATTCACAGTAGATACAACTATAGCACCCCCATCCACGTCCTCCCATGAAGGAGGATCAGAAGGCTATCGTTTATAAGACCCAAGCTAGGTTTTTACCTGAAAGATCTTCATTAAAGTCCATTTTTTTGTTGAATACAAAGCTGTTGAGCATTCTGTAGGGCCGAGCGGGCACGTTTACTTTCTCAATGTGAGCTTTCCCTATTATAATGGTACAAGGAGAATTGGCATGGCCTGTGCTAAATTGATTGTGAACATCGCTAACAGGCTTCTGGAAAAAAATATAACAAGATGAACAAAATGTCAAAGAGTAAATGCACAGTCCACAGAATCATACAGAAGAGAATGGGCTCAAAGGGCAACTCCTACCTTTGGAGTATTCATTCTCCTCTGCCTTTTGCTCAACTGCCTTTGGGGGCCGTGTTTAACCACTTTAGCTTGTGTTTGTTTGGCTCCGAGTTTTACGACATCTGCCCACGATTTTGCCACTGTCAGAAGGAGAAGGTGTTGAAACGTTTCCAAACTTGTATTCGTGAGAAAATGAACCTGACGACATTATCTGCCAACACAACACTCACCGATTAAATTGGCTTCAGAAGCACCACTCCTTCTTTTGGAATAAATCCTCTGCAAGATCTCATGTTGGCTTCGATCGATGGAAGTTCTCTTTGAAGGCAAGGTGCCGCTCTTCCTCCCTCCCCTCTTGGGAATGTCTGTGTGATGAGATTTGGTGCCACTGGAGACTGAGGACACCTTGCATGACCTGCGGTGGGTGTCATTTGCAACTGGAGAAGTTTGCGTCAGATTCCGAGCTGGAGATCCTTTACACTGGTCTTGTGCAGTCACTTCCAAACGGATTTCTGAAGAATCTTCTTTTCTTGGTGGTTGAGGGTATTCCTGACGATATTTAAATGTTCGTAAGAAAACTTACCACAAATATAACAGCTCTGTAGTGAATTTAAAACCCTACCCAATTAAGAATTGTTTTTTTAAAGATTTTGTTTATTTACTTGTCAGAGAGAGAGAGCACATAAGCAGGGGAGCAGCAGAGGGAGAGGGAGAAGCAGGCTCCCCGCTGAGCAGGGAGCCCAATAAGGGGCTCAATCCCAGGACCCTGAGATCATAACCTGAACAGAAGGCACATGCTTAACCAACTGAGCCACCCAAGTATCCCCCATTAGGGAGTTTAGCTGTTTAAATCTTGAAGCACCAAAACATTTCAACCACTGTCTGTCAAGTATTAGGTAGAAATAGGAGTCTGTCCCCCTCATTTAAGAAAAAAAAAAAAAGGGAAAAAAAGAGTGAACAAGTGTTAATTGGGGTATTTTGGGTAGAAAGGCAGAAGGAACCTCCCAAGGAGTGACAAGTGAGCGTGCTCTGATCTGAATTGGAGAAAAACACCATCTGTAGGTGTCTAATCCAGCTTCGGTCTACACAGAAGGAGGGCTGCTCCTTTCTGGGGGCCTGTGTAAAATGGAAAAGGAGCCTGGCATACCTTACACTCCTTTCGGTTTGAAAAGAAATTAAAGACTGCCCTGCCCAGGCCCTCTGACGAGGATGAGCCATGAGGCCATAACTTTCTAGAGACCTCAAATCAGGTGGACAACACAGCCTAGGGTAGGTGATTAAAAGTTTTAAATAGCTGATGGTCAAAATCATAGGTGTGTTGTCACCCAAGATTTTCCTTTTCACCTAAAAGGAAAAAAAAAAATCCCTTAGGGTTATGTGTCATGATGTCTCCAGATTCTTTGTAATTGCTTGTGTGTCTTTTTAAAGATTTTGTTTATTTATTTGAGAATGAGAGAGCCAGAGAGCACACAAGTGGGTGGAGGGGCAGAGGGAGAGAGAGAATCTTCAGCAGACGCCCCAGTTGAGCACGGAGCAGGACGCGGGGCTCGATCTCACGACCCTGAGATTGTAACCTGAGCCGAAATCAAGAGTCAGACGCTTAACCGACAGAGCCACCCAGAGGTCCCTTTAATTGCTAGTCTTTACTGAACCCCCCGGCGATCACCTGTGAGTCTGGCTGGCAGGGCGACCCTGCAGAAGGCAGCCCTGAGGACTCGCCTGCATTCAGCCCCTTAGAATCGTGCTTCGAAGCCCAGTGAAGGAGCTCTCCTTTAGATTTTTTTATTTTTACTTTTTTATTAGAAAGAAAAAGGTCTTCATAGTAATTGTGCTGGTGTGGGGAGTGTGAAAGGATGAGGATACAGGCTGCCCAACATACCTTGATGATTTTCTTCAGGACAGGTGGAGTGTGGCTGGCGAGAGACCTTCTCGGTGTTTCTCCTCTCTTAAGAGGTGTATTAGGAGGTAAGTTCTCATCAAATAACTCCGGCTTCAGACGACCACCAAAGGAGACCCGCCTTCTTTTTAGGGGTGTTCCCTCAATCTTATCTAAAATAAGGAATACAAATGTGGAGAGAGAATGAAAGACATACACTTATATAGACTCGTTACACTTGTGAAGACTGTTAAAGACAAACCACTGGTACCGTCCCCTGAAACCTAACACCACGGCATTTCATCCCTTTGTCCTGCTGAGGACGCTGGAGCTGCTTCAAGGGCTCAGGGAAGATCCAGGGACAGGACAAAGATTTTCTACAAAAGGGTGAAAAATCCTGTGTGGACGGAGCTTGATAAAGGGATTGGTCTGGACCTGTGGCTTCCACCTGGGAGGAGGGCAATGACAGAGATGGAAGTTTCTGCAGTGACCCGGGAGGGCCTTTTCAAAAGCCACATATGAGCTCGGGCCTCACCCAGACCTACCTAGTGAGAAGTCACGAACCTGACAACTTCTCCAGGTGGTTCGAATCGGCAATTCATGAGTCCCAACCCTACCTCACATCCTTGTGAACCAGCACGCAACAGAAATCCCTTGTCGAAGTGGTGCCCCTTTCGGAGACTCATGGGGACATTGTGATGGATGTGTGCGGGTCTCATTTCAGAGAGCCGCGCACCTTGCCCAAGGGCCCCTCTGCAGATCAGAGCCCGGACAGTAAGCCTGCTACTTCAGAACATCCGCAGAGACCCGAGAAGTGCGGGCGGACGCCCGGGAGGTGCCATGCCTCCTCCAGAGGTCACGGCTCTGCCCCTCGCTGTGTCACCTGAGGCCATCAGCTTCCCTATTTGCAAGAGGGAAATCACAGGAATGCCTGTCCCCTGGGGACTCCCGCTGCCTGCACAAAGGGGTAAAAGTGTGAATGTCTGAAAAACACCTACAACAGCACCTGATGCATAAACCCGTGGGTTAGTCCAGTGTTTTATAAAGAAAACAAAAAACAAAAACCAAAAAACCGCTAGTAGGAGACCCTGAGAAGAGTATAAATCCCTGAGAGACGCCCTCTAATATTTAAACATTTCCAAGGGATTGATTTCCCTGGACTTCATTTACGGGAGCAAACTCATGGGCTACAGGGCCTTATGGGTCAGAATTAAAACTTGTGTGAAAAGCCATTATGCTTATTGGGCGTATCTTCCCTCCTATGTTCTCGTAGGGGGAACAGGAGACTCCACCATGGTTTTGGAGCCCCTCACGATCCCTGGCTCCCAGAGGAACCTCCCTGACCACCTGCGCTTCCTCTGGAGCCCCTGGTTACGAGTCTCCGGGACAGGAGGACGGGTCTGTCAGAGCAGACGGCGCACATGGCTGTGTCAGGAGCACACCGCCGTGCCTCACAGACCGTCTACACCAGGGCCATCACTGCTGAGGGAAGGAAGTCTCATGACTTCATATCTGGAAGTCTTTCTAGATATGTGTGAGCCCTCCGGGGGAAAATAAATGCACAGTTAAGTAAACTTACTGATGGAGTCACCAAAGTTGTTGCTGTCAACTGAACTACAACCAGGGAACCCAGAGCTCGAGGGCCCGGCTATGGTGCCCACTTTCTCAGGCTGGTGCACGGAAATGCTTTGAATCTTCCTTTCAACTTGAACGGGCAATGGAGCTAAAACAGTGTGATTCTGAGTTTCCAGTTCTGTGGTAAGAATGTCCACACTGGTAGGAACACTCCCCTTCTTTTTGGAGAAGCATTTTTCTGGTGTAGCTCCAAAATTATCAGCATTTTCGACTCTAGTGGGTGTCTGATTTCTGGTTAAGAAATTCCGAGGAGGAAATGTTTTGTAATCTGTCCCGAAGCCTTCCCTTTGATCCAGATCCACGGACTCACTTCCGCTGGGAACATGCATGTCTTCGCTCCGACGTTTTCGTGAGGCATTGTGTGGGGAATGTTGGACCATGGTCCTGGTTCTTGTCATCTCCTTAGGAGGGATGCTGGGACCCATGGTCTCCTTGGGAGTCTGAAGAGCTTCCTCATCCTTTCTCCTGCCCTCAGTCTGGCTAGTTCCTTGTTCTCCCAAAGCAGGGTCGGCCTTCATTGGGGTGAATCGACCGGACCTGGGTCTGGATTTCAGTGAGACCAGGACTTGTGTCCCGTCTTGTAACCCACCAGAACATCCGTTCTCTGATGCACGACGACTCCGTGACCCCGATTTTTTACCGCTCTGTAGAACATTTCCTTTTTCTGATTTCACATCAAACTCTTCTTTCATGGACTCGTAAAGCTTCCTAAAGGGAGACTCATGGTTTTCACTGTTCTCAGGATGCCATGTAGAGGGGAAAGACTTCAGTTCTCCATGACAACTCACTAAGGGTATGCTGGAATCTTCCTTAAAATCCCCGGCTGTAGGATCCATTGCATTTCTGTAGTTCTCTCTAGGAAGTTCTGAGGAACGAAGAGCATTAATTGTTTTTCTAGCAGCGTGATCTTTGGGGCCATCCGAGACTGTGCCGGCTGCTTTGCCATTCCTCACGTGTCCCAGAGGACTTCCTGAGATATTTTCTTCACAGAGTTTTGAACGGGCATTGGAATCTTGAACTTTCCCATCTTGGCAATGAGTTATGAAATAAGAAACAAAAAGTTCAAGATTTTCTCAGTGATTAACACCGTGCAGTATTCAAATTTTACAACCATTTCAAGTTGTCTTGTAATCTAGTTTTTCACTTAGCCTATTACTTAATGCCAAAATGCGTAATAAAAGTATTCTGATACTTGAATTATGATGCAAACAAATAAATCACAGCAGCCTCCTATAACCAATATGAGGGATCACCTGCTATTAGTCTACTCAATTAAACTGACAACCATGTTCAGTTTATTTATACTTGGACGCTCCAGTAAGCATGGTGCCCCACACCTCTCTTGAGGAAATGTTAACTCGGGGGTCTGCCTATCTCTCGTGTTAAGTAACACAACCTCCTAACCTTTGTGAACTTAGATGTAGAACGCTGGTGTTCTTGTTGTCTCTTCCTTGCCCTAATGCTACACAGAGAGCTGATCTTGCAGGATCCCAGAATAAAACCAAAAAATTACTAACCAGGGTCGGAAGAGAAGCCAGATCTTGAGACCCTATGCAGAGATTCCTGTAAATCGGCAAAATAAAGACAGCTATTTAGGTGCTTGTTCAAATACCAACAGTCATATTTATGAAAATATTCTTGCTATGGATGCTCTTCCTTACCAAACTGTTCTTACAGGAATTTTAGAGACTTTGAGAAATGATCCAAAGACACTCAGGGGCAAGTGCTCATAATACAAGTATTTCTTAGCTGATTTTAAAAAATATAATGATAGAATAAGAAACAAACTTGAAGCTCAAAACTGTTTAAATGGAACCTCAGTTGAGTTTTTCTAACTTCCTCAAACTTCTTTCTCATCACCATATGAAAGAACCAAAGCTAAAATTAAACATCACCTATGCTCAGCATCTGTGAACCTACCAAGGGCACAGAATTATTGACTTAATACTTAAGTTTTATCAGAAAGAGGCTGCAGGACCTGTGGATGAGCTGGGGCCCCACTCAGCCCGGGTGCTCAGGTCGGCAGGTGCACCCAAGCCCGGATGTTCAGGTGAAAGTGAAACCAGCACATCACAGGCGTCGTGCCCTCCGAGCGCAGCAATCAGATCCAGTCCTCCTACCTGGCCCCCGACTGCTGCCTTCACAATCTGTCAGAAGATTTTTTAGAGGGCGAGGAACAACCACAGAATAACAATGATGTAAGGTATAAAAGTTCAATGTTGCTTCAAAGGAGGAAAAGTATCTCATCTGAATTATTATGGGGGAAAAAATCACAAAATATATCCAAAGGCAAATAATTTAACTTCTCTCTTCAATCAGTTTCAGATTTCTTGGTATCGGACACGTTGCTTCTCTAACTCGCCAAGTGAGGGATCAGTTTCTAATTTCCAAAACTTGAAGTTGGCCAAGGATCTTATGACTAAACAATAAAAATGAATTAAAATCTAAAACTATGTGCAAAATATAAGGAAGCATATAAGCCCATTTTTTGTACCATTATATTCCATAGGCATAAAAATCACTGTCAAAGTGCTATAACACGTTCTCAGTATTCAGTTTCAATACTGACTTTATCACAATCCAGACAACAAACAGTTTCTAGGTCTTCTAACCACTGCTAACCCGAAGTCCAGCCTTTTGCTTGGTTCCCTAATACCTGCCAACAAAGTGGGTAGAGAACCTCAAAATCTAGCTTTCCCCCAAAGCCAATGAGGGGCAAGGTCACCATTAAGGTCATTCCTCTAAAGAGGAAGCAGCACATAGCAGGAGCAGAGATCTTCAGTTGAAGGGCTTCCAGCTAATTTCGGGTGTAGGTACAATATGACTTTTTAAACCAGTGAATTGCAACCTAGTCACAGGAGACCAGCTTGGGTAGCTTCCTAAAGGAGACACATCCTCCTGAATCTCTGAGGATGGGCCCAGAATTGCATTCCGATAAAGCCATACTGTTTGGATGGACACAAGTAGTAAGATTCTCTCACAAGACACAGTGCAGTAACGCTCTCCCAGGGGCATGGGTTATCTCTCCATCAAAGTCAGGAAGCATCTCTGGGACTCACAGCTCTGATGTGACCATTTCAGATGCATAAAGATGGAGGAACACAATAACTGGGAGACAACACAAGCCACTCATCTAGTTCCCAGATTTTAAATCTATGTGATGCGCTGTCCTAACCAAAGGTTTAGAAGAAGATCAGATCGTGAGATACTCCAGAAGCCTTTGGGCCAAAGTGTAAGACTGACTTAGTCCTCTCATTGTGAGAAAAAAAAAAAAGCATAGTTGTAAATTATTTCAGTATGTCCAAGTTCAACTTGTTTAAGATCTCAGGTACCTGTCCCTCTCTTACTGTCAAGTCACCCTCGCTTGTGAGACATCATTCATTGACGTGCATATAAATGATTTCATAGTATCGTGCAGAAGAATCAGAGTCCACAGTTGGATAATCCACCCCCCCATCACCTGTTTGCGCTTTTGTCCTGTGAATTCCGTTGACTCGCTTCTATTCTGATGACTTTCATTTTCATACCTGAAGTGCACAGAAGGACAGACACACATTCAGAGTCCAGCTCTGTAACTAATGGGAAAGCCTCCTTATCTCATTAATGTCCAAGGAGCAAGGAACAAACGTCAAGTTTTATTCAAGAGATTCACCTTATTCATGGAAATAAAGGTAGAGTTAGAAAAGATTTTACACTAAAAACTTGGATAGGTTGCCTCAAATTTCTTTGGCAACACTGTTGTCAGAGGTGGGGACCCAGATTAGTTTCTGAACGCTGATAAGCTGTGTGATTTCAACAATATCTGAGTACCTCTGTGAAAACCTGCCTACGAGAGCCGATCAGATTCGCACCGGTTTATATCCGTGGAGATCATCTGAGGGCTTGAAAGTTCACCCAGGAAGCCGAGGCCTGAGTCACTTGGTGATGTTACCTACTGCAAGGTCACCAGAGCCACCTGTAACTTAGGATCACTGTGACCTCCTGTGTCCTGCCTTCCCCATCTGTATCCGAACAAAGACTGGCACATTCTTGAAGATGTAGACAGATTTAACAACACAACACTGTCCTTCTACCAGACCCTGGGCATAATTCACAGAACCACCTGCTATGGGCATCCTGAACTTGGCCTCCGTGAGGTGGCCTGATCCGAAACAGCCGGGTGTCTGGACTTATTTCTCCCGATCGCAGAGTTCACAGTCAAGTTCTTCTTCCTAAGAACGCTTTCCCCATTCTTGTGTTGGAGGTATTTAATTATCTCAATTAATCTCAATCTGAATAGCATCTCATTTGGTGGAAGAAGTTCTGGTCTCCACTCCACATCAAATGCTTCCTATCTAGAAGTCTATTCAATAAGCATACCCTTTAGGGCGCCTGGGTGGCTCAGTTGGTTAAGCGACTGCCTTCAGCTCAGGTCATGATCCTGGAGTCCCGGGATCGAGTCCTGCATCGGGCTCCCTGCTCTGCAGGGAGCCTGCTTCTCCCTCTGACCCTCCCCCCTCTCATGTGCTCTCTCTATATCATTCTCTCCCTCAAATAAATAA